CCGCCATCAACTGGAAGGGTGACGGAAACCGTCTAAAGGCCACCGCCCGCAGACGTCGAAGCGGATGGGTCTTGGGAAGGCTTCGCAGCCGTACCCAGAATGTCGTTGATTTTCTGTCGTACCTCTCTTGCGCCGATTGTATGCTTGCCTCCGCTTCAGCGACCGCCGTGGCCACCGTGTTGAAGGTTCCCACGATCGCTTGGGCGCCAATCCTCTGCACTCGGTTGATCACCCTCATCTGCGCTGCTCGACACCTGTACCTCCAGACGTTCGACGCGTAGTCCATCGTCGGTGCTACGGCCGCCACGAAAAGCTGTCTGGCCGTCGCCGGAGACAGGCCTTTGAGCCGTTTGAGCCCCAGCACGGCCTCCAGCCCTTTTGTCGTCGCGTCTGCGATGTGCTTTTCGAAACGGAGTTTCGTGTCCATCATCACTCCCAATACTTTGACGTGGTCCTTTGCTCGGACAGTGTCACCTTTGATGACGAAGCTGGTTGAGTCCGCCGGCAGCCTCCAGTTGCGCGTGAAGTGGATGATGGCCGTCTTGTCCGTCTCGAACGTCGCCCCGCTTCGTCGTTCCCACGCGAGTGCTCGATCGATAATATCTTGGATGCCCTGACGGTTTGCTTCGCGCGATCGGCCTGTGACCCACGCCGTGTAGTCATCGACGAAGGCCAGCGCGCCCCCGTTCTCGTCGATTTGGTGCTGTACGAGATCGGCGTTGAAGAAGAGGAAGAGCACGGGCGAAAGCGGCGAACCCTGAGGCAGTCCGGCTTGTGGTAGCGGACGAGCCTCGGACTCGTGACCGTTAACCAGGATGCTTGCCGTTCTATGGGAGCAGAAGGCGTCCACCCATCTCACCAGCTTGTCCGGGATCCCCCGCGCTCTGAGTCTTTGAAGTAGTCTCTCTTTGTACACACCATTGTATGCTCCCTTGACATCGAAGCTGACCAGACTGACCACCTTTCTCTTTCTCCACGCTCTGTAGATGTACTCCTGCAGCAGTACCAGCGCCTGCTCTGCCGACCTCTGCTTGCGAGCGCCAAAGTGGCTCGTGGGAAGGAGGCCGAACGTCTCGACAGCGTGCGAGATACGTTCTGCCAGGACCGACTCCAGCACTTTTCCGAGCGTCGAGAGAAGCGAGATCGGTCGCCAGGCCTTCGCTATACCGTAGTCGCTTTTGTTTGGCTTCTTCAGCGGGATGATCTTTGCGTGTCGCCACTGCCTCGGCAACACCCCTTCATCCAGTGAGGTCTGGAAGAGTGTAAGCACCCTCTCCTTCACCACTGGCCACGTGTGCTTCCACACTGCCACCGGCAGACCGTCCTCTCCGGGTGCTTTCCACGACTTTGCCGCAAAGAGCTGTCTCTCTACTTCTCCCAGTGTGAGGTTAGGGAAGGGTACCGGCGATCGTTGTGGCCGATCCCCCTCCTCCTCGATCATGCTGGGGAGAGGAGGGAAAAATGTGGAGAGCAGCTCTTCGGCCTGTTCTGCGGCGTCTCCCGTTTGGGAACCATCCGCCCTTTTAAGTTGAGGTATCTTGTCGAAAGATGCCCCTTTACTGGCGTCGAGATACTTCGCGGCCTTCCAGATATTGGCGTCGTCGGCCAGAAAGTCCTCCCAATGGCTCTTCTTCTGTTGTCGGATGGCATCGTGATATTGCTTGGCTGCCGAGCGTGCGCGTTGCTCCAGTTCAGGTTGACTGTTACCTGCCCTTCTCTCCGCTCTCGCCCGGTTTCTCCAGTGGGTATGGATCTGCCGGAGCTGGGTGAGGTCAGCCGTCCACCATCTCTTTGCATACGGTGATGGCTTGGCCGTAGGTGGTCAGTGCCATCGTACTGGCCAGTACGGCACGAGCCACTAGACATCCGTCACCGTCGGCCAATGCCATCACCGTATGCAAAGAGATGGTGGACGGCTGACCTCACCCAGCTCCGGCAGATCCATACCCACTGGAGAAACCGGGCGAGAGCGGAGAGAAGGGCAGGTAACAGTCAACCTGAACTGGAGCAACGCGCACGCTCGGCAGCCAAGCAATATCACGATGCCATCCGACAACAGAAGAAGAGCCATTGGGAGGACTTTCTGGCCGACGACGCCAATATCTGGAAGGCCGCGAAGTATCTCGACGCCAGTAAAGGGGCATCTTTCGACAAGATACCTCAACTTAAAAGGGCGGATGGTTCCCAAACGGGAGACGCCGCAGAACAGGCCGAAGAGCTGCTCTCCACATTTTTCCCTCCTCTCCCCAGCATGATCGAGGAGGAGGGGGATCGGCCACAACGATCGCCGGTACCCTTCCCTAACCTCACACTGGGAGAAGTAGAGAGACAGCTCTTTGCGGCAAAGTCGTGGAAAGCACCCGGAGAGGACGGTCTGCCGGTGGCAGTGTGGAAGCACACGTGGCCAGTGGTGAAGGAGAGGGTGCTTACACTCTTCCAGACCTCACTGGATGAAGGGGTGTTGCCGAGGCAGTGGCGACACGCAAAGATCATCCCGCTGAAGAAGCCAAACAAAAGCGACTACGGTATAGCGAAGGCCTGGCGACCGATCTCGCTTCTCTCGACGCTCGGAAAAGTGCTGGAGTCGGTCCTGGCAGAACGTATCTCGCACGCTGTCGAGACGTTCGGCCTCCTTCCCACGAGCCACTTTGGCGCTCGCAAGCAGAGGTCGGCAGAGCAGGCGCTGGTACTGCTGCAGGAGTACATCTACAGAGCGTGGAGAAAGAGAAAGGTGGTCAGTCTGGTCAGCTTCGATGTCAAGGGAGCATACAATGGTGTGTACAAAGAGAGACTACTTCAAAGACTCAGAGCGCGGGGGATCCCGGACAAGCTGGTGAGATGGGTGGACGCCTTCTGCTCCCATAGAACGGCAAGCATCCTGGTTAACGGTCACGAGTCCGAGGCTCGTCCGCTACCACAAGCCGGACTGCCTCAGGGTTCGCCGCTTTCGCCCGTGCTCTTCCTCTTCTTCAACGCCGATCTCGTACAGCACCAAATCGACGAGAACGGGGGCGCGCTGGCCTTCGTCGATGACTACACGGCGTGGGTCACAGGCCGATCGCGCGAAGCAAACCGTCAGGGCATCCAAGATATTATCGATCGAGCACTCGCGTGGGAACGACGAAGCGGGGCGACGTTCGAGACGGACAAGACGGCCATCATCCACTTCACGCGCAACTGGAGGCTGCCGGCGGACTCAACCAGCTTCGTCATCAAAGGTGACACTGTCCGAGCAAAGGACCACGTCAAAGTATTGGGAGTGATGATGGACACGAAACTCCGTTTCGAAAAGCACATCGCAGACGCGACGACAAAAGGGCTGGAGGCCGTGCTGGGGCTCAAACGGCTCAAAGGCCTGTCTCCGGCGACGGCCAGACAGCTTTTCGTGGCGGCCGTAGCACCGACGATGGACTACGCGTCGAACGTCTGGAGGTACAGGTGTCGAGCAGCGCAGATGAGGGTGATCAACCGAGTGCAGAGGATTGGCGCCCAAGCGATCGTGGGAACCTTCAACACGGTGGCCACGGCGGTCGCTGAAGCGGAGGCAAGCATACAATCGGCGCAAGAGAGGTACGACAGAAAATCAACGACATTCTGGGTACGGCTGCGAAGCCTTCCCAAGACCCATCCGCTTCGACGTCTGCGGGCGGTGGCCTTTAGACGGTTTCCGTCACCCTTCCAGTTGATGGCGGAGGCCTATCGCGACCTACCCCTTGACAAGCTGGAGACTATCGAAGGGTATTCGATCGCTCCTTGGGAACGTCGTATTGATACAGTAGTCGACGACGACACGGTCAAGGCCTCTGAGGCAATCCGGTCTGGATGGGCAGTGAGGATAGCGACAGGGAGCTCAGCAAGGAACGAGGTTGTGGGCTTTGGAACGGCGACGACGCTGCCCGCATCTTTCAGAGGGGGCGGTGGCGTCGTGACGGCCTCGCGTACGTTCGGTCAGAGAACGGAGCAGAACCCGTATGTAGCAGAGCTAGCGGCACTGGCAGAAGCGGTCAAGTCTCTCCCAGAGAGACTCGAGTACCGGGCCATCCACGTCTTCACCCGCAACAAAGCGGCAGTGTTGGTGATGCACAACCCGCGGCAGCAGTCAGGCCAACAAGAGATCCGACAACTATATGCCAGCGTGCAAGCTCTGCAGAGACGAGGCAACAGAGTCACTCTCTTCTGGCTTCCATCATCGATAGAGTCAGACCTGGCGCAAGCGGCCAAAGCAGCAGCAAAGGAAAGTACCCAAGTAAACAAGACACCACAAAAACGGCCGGCCAGAGCCTACTCGACGGCACTTAGGATCGCTTTACAGAGCGTGCGACAGAAGCACGGAGCCTTGCCCGACAACGTAGGAGCATATTCGAAGAAGATCGACATAGCCCTGCCGGGAAACCACACACGCAAGCTGTATGACGGACTGGCCTGGAAAGAAGCCAGCATTCTAGCGCAACTACGCACCGGAATGGCAAGGCTGAACTGGTACCTCTACCAGATCGGCGCAACCGCCGCGGCGCTATGCGCTTGCGGGCAATCTGCAGAAACGGTAGAGCATTTTCTCTTTCGATGCACACAGTGGACGGCACAGCGGACTCGGATGCTCCAACAGACGGAAACGCGGAGAGGAAATCTGTCATACTTCCTGGGAGGAAAGCGCGCGTCCGACCCTAAGGATTGGTCGCCAAGCGTAGACGTTGTCAAAGAGACGATCAAGTTCGCCATGAGCACGGAGAGGCTAGATGCACAGATCAGCCAGCAGCGAAACCACACGCAACTAACATCATCAAATTAACCGGAGACACCCCCACGCATCCTCGTGCCATCGACAGCAGGACTAGCTTCGGCCGCCGACGATAGGACGTCGAACACTTTGAGAAACAACTCCGAGATGGCCTGCTACTAACCCCACGAGCAACCGCAGCATCGACATGCAAAACTAAAAAAGACACATACGGAGACGAACAAGACTTGTATGGGCTTCTGGGAGGCAAGGATATGAACGAATGTGGAGAATATGTAGATAATCATGCGAGCCCTAAACAGCTTAGCCGGGGCGTAATAAACTATGTATGTATGTATGTATGTGCGAATGCGTTAGATGCGTCAGTGGGGATGAGGCTAAGCGAGTGTTTGGGGTCATTTGAACCGATACGAAAATTTATACGAGTATATATACGAATATAGACGAGTACAGAAGCAAGAACGCGATCGATCAAGTTGGAGTAAGTTCTATACTTGGGGTAACTTCTCCCACCTCCACAATCAACAGGTCCACACCACCCAAGAAGAATTGAAGTTCTGCATCGCAACTATTTCCGCGATGAAGTACTCACTTTATAAAGTCACATGCCCCGATCAGCACATTGAGCAAGGAGTGCCATCCGGTCACACTTACATTTCATTCTTATCTTCGTTACCTCTCACTACCCACGTAATATTGTGATACAGACACAGAGAATCACATTTATTGTTTGGATTACCTCCGTCATGGCAGACCCGACGCTTTCTCGATCACTCGCCCGGTCCTCAGTCATTGAGGCGCACAATCTCGTTAAACCACACGTTCACTTCACGCCTGTCCTCACCAACAAAACCTTAACCAACCTAGCATCAACTCCGCGTCGTCCGGAAGATCTCAGAAAGACAAGGTGGGAAGGGTTGACACCTGCAAGACCTACGCTGAGATTGTGGTTCAAATGTGAGAATTTGCAGCGAATTGGAGCTTTCAAGGTCAGGGGGGCTTTCCATGCATTGGAAAGATTGAAGATGGAACCTGGGTGGCTTGAAAATGGTGGAATGGAGAAGGGGGTTGTGACACATAGCTCTGGTGAGGACATTCCTTGCGAAGTTGAGTTCTACTGAATTGGCAGGCTTGAAATCTCGGCGCAATTCAACTCATGAGTCAACTGCTAATGAATGAATAAGGCAACCATGCTCAAGCTTTGGCTCTAGCAGCTAAAGAGCTCGGGATGCCAGCACATATCGTGATGCCCGACATTTCCCCTGCAAACAAGATCGCTGGGGCGAGAGGCTACGGCGCCCACGTGACTTTCAGCGGCAGCACCTCTACTGAGCGCGAGACTGTTGCCGACCGCATTAGGTTAGAGACCGGAGCACGCCTTGTACCGCCTTACGATCATCCGGACATTATCCTCGGGCAGGGCACTCTTGGTCTTGAGTTTCAACAGCAAGTCCGGGATTTGTTGGGTGCTGGTTATTCTACTGAGCATCCAACATTCGACTCTACGGGTCAAGCTCCTGCATCCGCAGGTTGCGAAGCAGGGCTTGACGCGATCATTGCACCCTGTGGAGGCGGTGGGATGCTCTCTGGGGTGGCGCTTAGCTGTGAAGGAACAGGCATCCAGGTTTTCGGGGCGGAGCCCGAGTTTGAAGGCGGAGATGACGGTAAACGTGGTTTCGAGACTGGAGCACGGATCGAGACTGTCAACACTCTTTCCATAGCTGACGGGCTCAGAACGCCCGTCGGAAAGATACCATGGTCAGTGATATATGAGAGACGATTAGTAAAGGGTATGTATAGTGTCACTGAGGACGAGATCAAGGCGGCATTGAAATTGGTGTTGGAGAGGTTCAAGCTTGTAATTGAGCCGAGCGCAGCGGTGCCTCTTGCTGTCGTCCTGTTCAACGAGGAGTTTAGGGCAATGGTTGAAAGAGAGGCAGGGGCTCGGGGGTGGAACTTGGGAATAGTCTTCAGCGGCGGAAACATGGCTATTGACGGCTTGATGAAAATCTTCTCAGCCTAGAGTACTAAGTAGCAAAATTCGAGTCTTGAATAGAAAGTTTGCAGCGCTTGTAGTCAAAGATAGCTAGGTAAGTAAAAAGCAATAAAACGTCTTACGCTCCTGGCACGAAGAAATCGGCTTCGTGAAAATGGACTTTCGCAAATACCACCATAAGGCACATATGGCAGCATACAAGGACCGGCTGCTTGCAGAGAATGCCGAAGCAGAGCTTGCCAAGACGAATGTCCAAGACGCGGACATCCCTATGGGCGACTACACCACCACCAAGCCCACCTTTCACTTCCCAGAGTCCTTGGAAATGAGATACTACTGCTAGGAACGGAGGAGGCTATGGATGAGTACCCTGGCTACATGACATCCTACAGGCGCGCGTGGGCCGAAGTCTCGCTTGCGCCGGGCGACCAGGCCAAGCTGGATGGGGTCTGGATGTGGCATTATTATCGTAAGCGGAAGAATGAGAAGTTCTAGTACGGGTAGAACTAGCTTTGGAATAATTGCCGGATTTGTTCCGCGGTGAGCTTGTGGAGTAGAAGGCCTTTAGGCTATAACGGGATATTGTTTCTGGATCAGGTGGCGTCTGTCTCTCCAGCGAGGAAATAGCTTTTGAGGTTTTGGTGTGATAGATACTCAGTGATACCCCTTGCAAATATGGAATGGTTGACGGAATAAAAACATCCGAGTCACCTACTTTGTGTAAAGAGTTTCACCTTCGCCAGAGTTCAGGACTCAAATTCTGCCCCTACATCGACCTCGGATGAGCCGAGCTGTCGTGACTGTGGAAATAGGTAGGCACGGAACTAAGGTACATCCCGATGATTCAAGGAGCCGCCAGTGACCAGCAACGAGAAGGAGCGCACTGCTCCCGCCCCCACCCTACCTGCCCCGAGACTGAGGGCAAGGCTTCATATATCCCGTCAGTTCCATTCCTGTCACCAACGGCAGCAGGCGCCTCACAGGCCTGTGAGGTCAGGTCAAACTGCCGTTTGGCGGGATGGGTACGGGCAAGCCTGTTCAACTGGCTAAGCCTACGCTAGGGTCTAGGTTCAAATCCCGGCATGAGCACCAGAGATGTAGCCCCCATTCGCCACCGGGGGGGTGAACTCTTTTGCTTTTTGGTATTTTGGTAATTTGATGACTTATACAAGGTGGTGGACGGCTGGCTGTTTTGAGTGAGATACAGACTTGTCTTCAGCCACGGAACGGTCAGTGGCGTTGAGAGTCACTCGGTGATCATCGCCAAGGCTGTGTGGCGTTTTCCCCCGAGGCTGTGCCGCTTCAGACCGATCATGAACATGTGCGGTGTGGTGAGACAAGGTCCGTCATGTCTTCCATGCATCCGGGTGGCGCGCCCACTACATCCCTGGGGTAAAAGGACTCAAGTACGACAGATTACCCTATTCGGGGATACAGCCGCATTCCACGTATCACAAATGAGGCTTTCTCACGATGGTGGTCACGAGGCATGACCTCAGCCTTTCTCATGTTCCATCCTCCTGGCCGTCTCCTCTTCTCGGCACCAAGTCTGGGAGGCTCACTGGCTTAATGTTAACCACACGTGATGGTATGTTACGCATCGTGATTCCGACGGTCGTTGGATAGTGCTTATGTTGCCTCGTTTGTAGCGCTCGCCCTATTGTGCGTGTGCAGAGGCTCATAATGCGGGGCATAGCCGTCTCCGAATGGTCTAGTCGGATGCATGTAAGGTAGTGAGAAATGACAGCCTGCTTGCGGTATCTGGACTGAGCAACAACGTGTTTCCTCAATAACATGCTTACCCGAACTTATATGGTCGGTGTTGTGAGAACGTTTCATGTCGGTAGACCCCAACACACAAAGCAAACATATCTCAAGAATTGAAGCTCAAGGCAGCTCGAGACCTCACGATGGACATGAACGACAAGATGGAACTCCTCGAAGTTCGTCCACTGTGTTCACTATCACGCTCATACCCAGCGCTCCAATGCCTCACTCGCTCTGCTCATCCTTCACAAAAGAGGCATCGTTCTCTCAAGACTCGCACATCTCGCGTCTGCTTACAACAAACAACATTTCCGCTCCACTCATCCGCTGAACCCAGTTTCAGGAAGCAAATCACCCAACGTGTAGAAAGAGCTCAGCAAACGTTCACAATCACTGACTTACCACCTGAACTACACCATATCATCATCGACTTTCTCGACCCCATCGATAGCACGTGTCTCGGGTTAGCAAGCCGCTACTTCTATACCCTTCATCGACGACGGCATGGCAATGTCCATCTCGCCACGGGACGTCCGAGGCCCAACGACCAGGAATGGGCATGGAGATCGGCATCTGCGTTGTCGGTCGTCAAGTCTATCAACACAACGACGGCGACGGCGACGACTGCCGCTGACGATACCCCGCTGGCAAACGAGCGGCCAATATCCTACCCGCAGCCGATGCCACTCTTCAGGTGCGAAAAGTGTGGACTCGAGCGATGTGAACTACAAAGACACATCCGAGACTGGTTCCCTCGAGACCACGACTACTGCACCATCTCTGGAAAGTACATGAGACTAGGCTCTCATAGAGAGGAAGCAGGATTCTGTTACCGGCGCTCGCCTAGAAAACCCAGCTTGTGTGGAAAACATCATCCGCGATCCATTGTCGGGAAAGTTGTCCGAGAAGCCGTAGGGCCTGATGCTGTGGCCACCATCACAGGCTCAGTCATAGAAAAGGATGTAATGGAATATGCGTTGGAGGCACAGGAGATGAACACCCTGGTTTGCGCAACATTGTGTCGTAAGGAAGAGTAACAGAGTTCAGACTCGGAAAGCTTATCTCAACTCACTTATGAATGAGACGGGGCTCATTGGAGCTTCACCCACTTTTGCTCACCCCTCAAATCAGTTGAATAAGGACCAACTGACTCGTTGTGTGAGTGTCCCTCGTTGAAGCAGCGTCTCCCTGCCGGACAGCCGTTGATCGCATGAACTTTAGGCACGCTTCGCCATGAGCTCCAATCCCTCTTCGCGGTTCCCTAATGCTCGCTGACCTTGATCCAAAAAGACTTGCATTTGTTCCGAGTTGGTGATGGTTGGCAATAGAGCAGTCTCTGTGTATTTCCTCCATGAAGTCATGATCAGCAGCCGGAAGACAGCCGTGTCAATTGCCTTGATTCAACATTGGGAGAGGTAAAAAAGGGCAATCTCAAGTTCAGAGTCTCGGGCCATCACGACCGAATCGCCAGAAGTGGGGAATGAGTGCGGGTAAGGGGTCGCCAAAGAAGCCGTGTCTTTGCCGTTGCTGGAGGCGTTACGCGAGTCAACTTGCCTCCCAGTTACTGCTCACAAGGAAATACCGAAAAGCAGGCTAAAGGAGCACGGTATAAGGAGCAGCTCAGCACCGTCGGGATGCCAAGACTTTGGAAAAGTTCGAGAACCAAGCAACGCCGCAGGCCGGCAGAAGCCCAGGAACCCACAGCTTCCCGCGCCCCCCGGAGTTGGAGAAATGGCAACTCCGGCTGCCCGGATTTATCCCCCTCCTTCTATTACCTAGGATCCTAAGGTACTCGCCGAGTCATTGTGTCTTTACGTCAATTACCCGATTCGATGCGCAAGTGGTAAAGAACCCGGGTGCGAGCCAATCACGTCGAGTCGGGCGGCTGAATCTGGGAGTGATGGGCTATGCTTGGCAAGGATACTACGATGTCGCTCAAGACGAGGGGGAGCTGGAGAGAGGGAGGGGACTGTAAAGTCTATTTCAACTGCTGCGATTACTGCCATTCTTGAAGATATGATGCTCCAAGACTTCTATCGAGAGAGAATTAGAGGATGAGCTCGTTGGTTAAGAGTCCAGAGTTCACTTCGTTTCCGCGCAGCGAACCGCGGAGGCGCGACCGAGGCCGACCACAAAGTCCCTGTTTCCACTTGTTCCTCCCCACTGGCCAAGTGACCTTCGTTCTGAAGTGGATGTGCTCGGTGTATAGAGTGTGTGGCAATGTAGATCAACTCGAGTCATGGAACCCGTACCGGCAACCTTGTTGATTGACATACGGCTATTTGTTCTTATTGACGTGTACAAACGCATCGACTCTCTGCATTCTTTGACCTTGCAGCGCGCCGACGGAGAAACTGCTCATGGCTAAAACAAAGGATTACGAGATGATGAGTTTGTACAAGAACGGTTTGTGGGTTGTGTGATTTTGTTGAGTAAAGTAAAGTAAGGTAAATATCTGTTGATGCCAACAGTAACGGCGCCAATGCAACACTTTGATCCAAACGGTCGTTTTCTCTCGAGCATGTTTCTGCGCCAGCGAGCAGATACGATACATTCGTCCATAGTCTCGGACCAAGTATGGTCTTCTAAAAATTTTAATCCTCGTCGCTATGATCGAAGCAGTCCACGCTCATGGTAATAATATGCAACAAAAAAAAAAAAAAAAAAAAAAAAAAGAGAAGAAAAAGAAGAGAAGAAAAAGAAGAGGAGGGAGGTAGGCTTCCATCGCGCTTTGCCCTCTCGGACCGGCGGGGAAAACGTACATGAACTCTTTTCAAACTCATGACTCTTCCTCCTTTCACTGCTCCCTCCCCGAAAACTCGTAGCCCTCCATCCAGCCGGCAAGTTGATCCAATTCACAGCTGCCGCAGCGGAGAAGCAGACGTTGGGTGTACGGGACCTGTACTGCGGCTGCCGACGATGATTTATCCTTTTTGTCGTCCGTCTGGACCAAATCCGCAAACCGGGCGTCGGTAAGGTAGTCCTTGACGCGCATCTCCTCGGCCGGCAACGAAAACAGGCTAGCGTTCTGCCTCGTCACCTCCTCGATGCTAACGTTATGTTCCCGCTCAATCATCCGCTTGCCAATGTAGTGCAGCTCATGTCCCTCGCCCAGCGTCACGGGCTCCCGCCTTCCCATGGCGAGTTCCCACGCAATGAGCCACGCCTGGTACCGAATATCGAGCCAGCGGCACTTAACAATAACGAACTCGACAAGGGAGAGGAAACTCGGTTTAAAATCGAATTGGAAATCGTCCGGCGCCTCGGGCGGGACGTCGGGGCAGCTGTCGAGGATCAACCGCGCGAGCACAACGATGCGCGCGAAGTTCTCCTTGAAGCAGTCGTAGACGGACTCGTCGTGAGACCGGCAGACGCTGATGCAGATCTTGGCCGCCTGGTACTTCATCTCCGTCTCGGCGCAGATGAGCCCCTGGTGCTTCGGCAGGGGGCGGTCGCCGTCGTCGTCTTTGCGGGGGTTCTCGACAAAGGCGAGGAAGGCGGCGTGCCAGCGGTCGAGCGAGGCACAGATGTGTTTTTGCTCCTCGGACATGACGGGGCCCTTTGAGGCGAGGCGGGAGTCCGTCTGCGACCCGGGGTCGGCAGAGCGGATGTAGCGGATGGCGTCGAGGAGAATCGGGTCGACGGCGCGTTTGGGGAGGTAGATGCTGCTGCTCTTGTCAAAGGGGCCGAGGTTGTACCTGGATCCTAACCCGCCGAGGGTTCCTACGCCGCTGCTGCTGCTGATGCCGCCGCCGTGTTGGAGGTTGAGTGAGGGGAAGCCCGGTTTGTCGTAGTAGCAGAGCTGGATGATGCTGAGGCGGTGGAATTTCGGCACGATTTCGTCGAGCGTGTCTTGTTCCAGCTCGTCGTAGTCTACGTTGTTGAGGATATTGATGCCGCTGGCGAGGTGCTGCATGGCGGCATCGAAGCTCTTGCGGAGGAACTCCGTGGCGATGAAGAGGATGCAGCAGGAGAGGACGACGTCCACGTCGTTTGGTTGCGTCATGTCATCGTCGGGGTCGTCGCCGCCGGCCTGGCTCGGGGGTGATGTGAAGGGGTTCGTCGGCGTGAGGGTGTCTTGCCGGTCTGGTTCTGCGAGCTCTGGTATGCTCGAGATGCCTGGCGTCATGGCTGCTGGGGACTGGATGGCTGATGACGGTCCGGCGGAGGACAGGCTCGGGGATGAACGGTTACTGGGTGATCCGAAGGACCTGCTACTGTCGTTTCGTATCGTCGTCGTCGTTGAAGTCGTCCTAGTGGTGGTAGTTGTTCCCAACGTCGTCTGAACATCTTCAAACCCCCTTTCCGGCGCGACTTTGTTGGCCATCAACCGCAACGCCTTGCCATAATGCTCGTCGGCTTGCGGATTCCCTCTCCCTCCATCGGCAGTCGTTGTCGTTGCCGCTGTCGTCGTCGCCGTCTTTATCGTCGCTCCTTGGATCGAGTTACTCGGGGGTCCTCGCTGCGGGAAAAGACTGCCGATGGCAGCCATGGCATGCCTCACGGCGGGCTCCGACTTACTCAGGCGCGGTACGAGGTCGGACCAGAACTTGTTCTCAAAGTTCTGCGGCAGGTTAGGGGCGACGTCCCGAGCAAAGTACTCCACGGTGGCCTGGTCCGATTCGAATTCCCAGCCCGCCCTGGCCTGCGCGAGCGCGTCTCTCAGCCTCGTGGTGCGCGAGCGGGCGCGGGCGATGGCCCGGTTGCTGGGGACGACGACGGCGTAGCCCTCGCATTTGCGGCCGGTGCTGGTGCAGCGCGCGCACGCCGGTTTTGCTTCATCGCACTTTACCTTGCGTGACCTGTTTGAATGGGAGAAGAGAGAGAAGTAAGAATGGCAGAAACGAACGATTGTGGGAGAGAGGGGGAGGGAGTGAAGTGTTCCTTTTTCTTCTTGAGGACGGGATTGTGAATGTGGGAACGGAGACGGAGACGGAGGGTGAGGCCCGGTGGCCGCTTGGTCACACACGCACATCACACACTCTCACATGCAACACATTCTACAACGCGCGCACACGGTACGGCACACCTTACACACAACATATACATGTATATCACCGTACATACGCAGCCGGAGACGGGACCTTTCGTCCGGTCTCGTCTCGACAGCCGGCCCCGGTTGAAAACTGCAGCCCCGGAGACAATCCGGAGACCATCCGGAAGTCATCCGACTTTTTGAGGGATATAACACGTTCCGCCCGAGGCTGGGATTTCGGGCTGAAGCCAAGGCAGCGCCGCGCAGCAGCCCCCATCCGAATCGCCGATCAAGAGAGAAAAAGTCAAAGTGAAAAAATGAGGAAATACAGTATGAGAAAATAAACTCACTTGCAAGTTAAACAGCCTGTCCGGACCTTTGGCTGGCCTTTCCGTGTCATTATGCCTGTTCCGCTTTGCTCTGTTCTGGTCTGGACTCTACCGTCCCGCGTGTGCTTGCTCCAGCTGGCAGGCGGGAAGGTTGAGAAGGTAAAAAAAAAAAACCCCGGACCCAGGTCCGAGTACCCGCACAAAGCACGTTCGACAGCGCGGCAAATGCGTGCGGGATTTGGGTGTGTGTGTGTGTGTGTGTGTGTGTGTGTGGTGCAGGAAGTTTCCGAAGTCCCGGAGGCAGCGGCTGCGGCTGGGGGCCTGAACGGAAGAAAAAAAGAGGAGGAGAACGGGAGTGACGGGAGGCAAGGCTACTCTCTTCTGAAGATCTAGAAGGAAAAAAGGGATAAGGAATAGAGGAAAAAACCAAGAGAGCAGCAAGTTGTTGCGTTTCAAGTTTCGGAGGGGCAGAAAATCAGCCGCGCCGATGAGGCCAGGCAGACTAGACGCAAGATGCAGGTCGCGAGGACGCAACTGGCCGAGGCTGAAGGATGGGTGAGATTGGTTCGTGTCTGTCTTGTCTGCCTCTCTCTCTATAGGCTACTTGCTTAGTTTTTCTCTCCTCTGCCTCTTTCTTGTTCTCCTCATTCTTCTTCCTCTCTTTTTGTCTGCCCGCCCCCTTCCCCTCCGCCCTCCGGCCCCTCTCCCCCTCGACTAAAAGGTGACTGAGCAGCAAATTCCTGCCTGCGGCACTGCCTGGTCTGGCATGGTCTGGTTTCTTACCTACCTAGGTAATTATGGTTCTGGTTCTGCTTCACCGTTCTGCTTCCTACGCGCAAGGCACAGGCGCAGACGCAGTGCGCAGCGTGGGTGGGCGGCGCGGGTTGCGGTGTCACTCTTGTTCCCCTGTCTCTCCCTGCGTCCAGTCGACTACAAAGTATTCTTTTTGGCTCTTCTCTGCTTGTGACTTGTCCTCAATTCGGGTCAAATTTGCACCCAAATTTGGGGGCCGCTGCGGCCACCACCGCCGCACCACCAACAAGATGCGTTTCTTTACCAAATTGAATTCTTCGGGCTTCTCCCCTCCCCTGCACAGCTGCAGTTGTCACCTGAGGAGGACCTGGTACGCCTGTGCTTCCTATGGCCGATCCAACACGGCGCTAATCTTTTTGGTCACTTGGACTTGGCGTCGAGAAGACCAGGGGGAGGGGGGAGGGGGCGTGTAGTGTACCGTCGGGTGTTGATGAGATTGATGACCCAAGAAGGGAATGCGAGCGCGGCTGTGCCATGTTCAAGTTGTGTCTGTTGGACGGGGGTGGGATGATGATGATTATGCAAAAAGGACTTTTGTTCATAATTCTTTCTTTTGCCTCTTACTGTGCCGTATTTCCACGGATGCCTCTTTTTCATTTTCTTCTCACTTTTTCGGCTCATCTTAAGTTATGGAGAGAGTCGAGTACAGACACATTCGAGTCTTGACATTGACACTTTGGGGGGAACTGAATACCTCCGCCCGTTGCCGGCCGCCTAACAAATCAGACGATTTGATTGTCACGAGCTAAATTGTTAGGGCTCGGATAATGACATGAGCAACTAGCGTCTCTGGATTCGTCTGGATTCTAGACCCTGTCAATGGCTCATGCTTCTTGGTGTCGGGCTTCAGCTACGTCTGACAGCTGACCAATGAGACGTTTTCAAACCGAGACAATGGAAAAAGGAGATGAATGCAGAAACAATGCTCGCATTCTGCGCAACCAACCCTGGCCCCCAGTCCACCCGTCCACCGGTGCGTTGCGGCGTTGAGCGGCGTTGCCTGTGCCGGCGAGCTACTTCGCGAAGACACCACGTTTTCGAACACCAAACATGCCTAAACTTATGGGTGATGGGAGGTGGGCTCAGGCTTGTCAGGGAAGGGGGGAGACTAGGAGGAGGGGCCGCCAAATGCGACGGATCATCGGCAGATGACTTTCGAAGCGCCTCCCTTTTGAAACATTGGTCCAAATATCGTTTCTTCTCTGACAGAGAAACTGCCGTAAACCTGGCATGTCTTGTCTAGTCTCGGGTGACACCGTGACTAGTTAAAGATGATCCGCCATACTCGGTACACAGTAGGGAAAAAACGGCCTCTGGAACTTGATCGAATGGGATCAGCATTGGAGAATGTTTCACTTCAATCAAAAGAATTGACCCAATAAGCTAAATCATAGACATTCGCACCAGCTGTGAGAACAAGAGACAAGGGTCGGTTTTTGTGCTTGTAGCCCATAGATATAGCGTATCTCGCAAGCTGCGCGCTTCTCCCCTCCAAAAGAGGAGTACTCCGTAGGACAACCACATGAAAAAAAAACCTAAGCTAAATCGTCGATCTGAGCTTCAATCGCCGACTCCCACACCCCCCAAAATAGTCCAATCCTCGCGAATCCCATCTTCTCAAAATACTTGACACACCGGGGACCATTGGTCTGTGTTTTTCGGTTGACCCGAGTGGTGTCGGTGTCGGAAATTGGTAAATGAAATGGCTGGTGAGCCGAGGCAACTTCGCACTTTGATGAATAAGATCCCAGCAGCCGGTTTAGTCTGCCCAGGCAGGCTAATGAAGAGAGAGACACTCGAGCAAAGGCCACCTTTGCATCCCGATTAATTTCCAAAAAAACCAAAACAAAGGAGAAACCATTTCCCATGCTGAATCCTGATTCCTTTCGCAAAAATCTGTCAGCTCGTAACTGCGTAAGCACACTGATGGATTGTGCTGCAAGTATACAAGTCATCAAAGAGGGAGTTGGAAGGAATGCAATTTGTCAACATGCCGAAGCCACAAGCGTCACTATGTTTGAGACAATTCCAGATATCATTTACCGACCGGTCTAACGCCAAAAATGGCTTGGCACGGGTATTGAGAAAACCCAAAAGTACATATAGACACAACCCCTTGCTGCCTCTGGATTGCCGGCGGGATATCTCGACTTTTGTCACCAGACGTTGGAGGCTAGACGTCTCGAGTCGTGACCGCGATATTCGCTGCCCACTACCATTCGGTATCCTTCGACATAGCCCACAGTTTCGGGGCGATCTTCAACAAATAAAATCCAAGACCCGCCTTGCTAGCTCAATCGGTAGAGCGTGAGACTCTTAATCTCAAGGTTGCGGGTTCGACCCCCGCGTGAGGCTCAAATCCTCACCGCGATTGACCAAGTCATTCTTCGGGCATATGTTTTTATTTTTTCTAAATCATTTTTAATTGAAATTGACAGAGTTTCGGGCACTTTTGGTTTGACTTTTGACCTTACGCTTTTGGCTCTTCTGCGTTGACGGCTTCTGACTTAAGCACACGCCACTCGTCTGAACTGAAGTTGGAAAAACTCTAAGTTGGCCTTGAACTTAGAGCCAAACGGGTATCAAACTATCGATACAATGATTGGTCCCCTCGCATGATGCTCATCCATCTCATGTAGATAACCCGAAAACGGCTGACATACCGGGAGACTTAGATGTTTGCCGTCGAATGGCCAAGTCGGAGTCTGGAAGAATGATGTAGCCGAAGCGCTCGCTGGAAACTTCTCTGCATGGGCTGCGACAGACGTGTCCCATTAAAACAGTATTTTCTTCAACGTGTCTAGACTGCTCTCTTTCAGCGACACAATTCCCCCCCCCCCCCTCCCCCGCGTCACACTGGCCAGAAAGGAGCTCGCAATGATTTCGTCTTCCACCTTCCCCGTCATGGTCGTCCAGAGCGATGGCTACTGGGACAAAGAAGCCTAGGCGTCTCTCTGCCTTCAACATGGACGAAGATGGATAGACATGGAAGCTCAAGGCTTCCCATTTGGTCGAGAGATATAGAAAAGACTCCATCGACATGGTACCTACGCTCCTTGCTCAAAACTTTAACACTTCACTTCACTCCATACCAACATGCATCAAGATCTTCTTTGCTGATTTACTTCTACCTCAAACCAACGACATGAACCACGAACCCCAAACCGCGAAAGCCATGCCGATAAGCAGACTACCCAATCTGCCGCCAGAAGTGCTCCTGGAGATATGTCGCCACCTAGCAGCACCGATGCAAGACGCGTTCTCAGAACACTTGTACTGGTATTATTTCTCCATTTACAGCAGCGGCGTCATCCAAAGACCAAAGCTGGCCGAAGTCCTCACGTGCAGTGCACCCCTTGCTCGACTGATGCGGACGTGCAGAGCCATGCGCTCGATGGCGGGCCACGAGCTCTACTCGTGCTACTGCGACATGTTACGTGCAGCAGTCTTCCCAGACCTGTGTCTTTTGTTAGACATTCAAGTCCCTGAACGCTTCTTTCGTCATCACCCGCTACCTGGGAAGAGCTTGAAAGAGATGGAGAAGGACGTCGCTACCACTCTTAAGGTTTGGATATCGCGAACAGGTTAGTCATGTGTGTAGACGTTCAGAACGACGGTAATCCAGACATGAATTGGTCGGATGAACAGCCTTGACGCAGAATGGATCGCCAACGCCGCAAATCGCCTCGTTATCTCTCCCCAAGAACTGGAACAAACGCCATCTAGAATGCGGACCATGAGACCATATTTCTGATTTCATTGCCCACCTCCTCCTCGACTAAGATACTTCCTCCGTTTGACCAGCCTCAACATCAGTCTAACCTGTTCATAGAAATTCGCCCCTCAAGCTTTTAAGACTGACGAAACCGAATATAGTTTTAATACGAAAACGAAAATTCCCACCACCCGTCTCGGCTCGATCAAGAATCGGAGCTCGCTATACTACAACCATACTTAACAGCCCCCTTGCCCGTTCACGACACGTTCTCCTTTCGAATCCCATGGGATCTTCGCCTCGAGCACCTCCGTCACCTCTACGTCCTGTTTTGCGGACCGCTGTCAGCAACACTTGTCGATCTCAGGGTGGGGAAATCACTGCGGGGGGAATGCTGTTAACAACCTTGACAAGCTGAACCCCGAGGACCTGGGGAGCTTGACGGCCACGCGCGTGGAAGGCCATCTCAGCGAGCTGACAAGGAGAAGTCTGCCAGACTTGTGCCGCAAGCTGGAGGCTGGGTGGTTCAAGGACTTAAACGAGATTGAGATCTTGTATGGCCATCGATGATGATACACGGTACAATACAGCACGCAACCTCTTGAGCTTGTGGAAATACGCATAGAAGTGTGTAGTTGGTGGTATGAAGAGGAGTTCCCCGGGGTTACTGATACTCGGAACGTTCAACCGCCCCTAGCACCCTGCTTATTTGAAAGGATTCGAGGATCTTCATGATTTCAATGGGAACTTTTTGCAATTAAAAAGTGATAGACACATGAACCTGAACTATGTCAAGCCTAAGGCGGTTGTGTCATCGCGCTCTGCTCCTCATGAATGGCTCGAATGCGTATGCTCATGAATCTCCACCGACTTATTCCCCGAAGCCGTCCCCCTCGACTCAAACATCGTCAACCCATGCTCCTCAATATCATCCTCCCGCCCCATCCCCGTGCCCAGCGATCGATTCTTCCTCTTCTTCATCCCCGAGCTCCCAATCGTCTGAATCGAACTATGCACCTTTGGCGTCTGATCCTTACCACCACGCGTAAACAACCTCCTCAACGTCGGCGCACACCCGCACACAATCGCCAGATTCGCCTCGAGCGCGGTCCACACCCAGATGTTGAAGCCGTCCCACGTCAGGTCGTACGAGGGGTCCTCCACATACAAGACTTCGACGCGGATGACCCAGTACGTCCGCATGATGCCCGCGAGCACGACGACGGTGCCGAGGCCGAAGAGGATGATGAGGCTGATGCGCTGGGTGAGGGGCATCTGGAGGCGGAAGAGGGTCGGCATCGGAAGGAGGTAGACGGCGATGTCGGTGAGGACGTTTGTGATGCCTTGGCCTGCGAGGGGCGGCCATTCGGGGATGCAGTTGCCCCAGTCGGCGAAGAGGGTCCAGTAGTGCCAAATCGGCCTGTAGATGGAGGGATGTCTGTCAGTCATCTATTACTCCGTAGGTTTCAAGGTTAGATCATTGCTTACATGCACTGCGTCCAAAGCACAATGAGAAAGACCCAGACAAGGGTGAAGACGAGGCCGCCAGTCACCCAAGTAAGCCGTTGGAACCACGTTCCCGGTGCCGCGAGCCTCAGATAGCTGGCAAGAATCGAAAGCTTGGACAAGCCGGAGGCGAACAGGAAGAGGGTCTGCGCAGCCATGGAGATCTACCACACATTAACCGTTAGAGTTACGCCTCTGAAGTCAAGGATTCGCCAAAATAGAGGACGTACCTGTCGGCTTTGCTTGATCAGTGACAGCGGAACATCCCACACATGCAGGTTCCAACCGTATAATTGCGTGGCTAATTGCGGATTGTTAGCATCAAGGTTTCCTATTGTCTGTACCAATATCTTTCACAGCTCCAGTTGGAGGGACCCGTACCGAGAATGACGCAAATCGTGACACCAATGCAGAATACCATGCCAGCAACCATAAGCCAGTCATCCCACCACGTCTGTCGAATCTTAACAATTCTGATGTACATCCGCAGGCAGAGGCATATCATGGCGATGCCCAAAAAGACCATCTCGATGATGAGCAGCCCCGGCCCCCGATTCTCCGGGTTGATGTAGTTTGGCCGTGGCCAGTGGATGAGCACATCGATGGGTGGGATCCTCATCGTGATAGACTTCCTGTTTCTGTCTCGGGCGTTTCCTAGCGATTTCGAATATTGTCGTCGAGTGACATGAGCAAAAGGTCCCCAAACCTTCCCCTCGGCCGTAAGTCTTGAGGGCACCGTTGAAGATCAGTCGACGATTAGTAGTTCAAGGGTTATTACATGGAAAGTGGCCATGGCTGATACTATTAAACCTCCCCTCGCCAAGCAAACATGTAGCGCTATCCTTCATTGTCGCATCGCTTGGAGAAATGTTTCTTTCTCTTCTCAGGGGCACACCATTCAACTTGTCAACGTAATAACGCTACGGAGCGGCTCCGCGAAAAAGGTGTCAAAGAAACAGTGTGTCTCAGACAGCCGGATGCAGCTTCGACAAGGCGCGACGGGATCAGCACTAAGCAGTCCGAACCATGTGTTTTGGGTCGACGCCACACATGAGGCGTCGCGCAATCCTCCAGAAAACCTGGTGATCATGCAATCATAAGGGGGACTAGCTCTCGATGTGACGCCCAGTCTTGCCAGCCTAAGTTGTGCTTAGACCACATCTAGAAATCTAGAATTTCGCGGCCGCATTCGACTTGGTTCCAAAACATTGGGATAAAGCAGCCTGTCCTTTGCTCGTTGTGTACGTAATGGGGCTGGCTTTCTCAATCAACTTGATGTCCAGGTGCTCCCATATCCCCCCCAGAATCGGATCACCTCCCACGCCGCGTGGCAGTCCTACCAAGACCACCAGTCTAATGACAAACACTCCGTGGCCAGCCGACTCCCGTCTCCCGTGTGCCCGCCCGATGAGGTCCCCGCGCGCGCGCGAGAGGTGAAAAAAGAGAAGCACAGACAAAGATGATCGTGTAATGACTTGCAGCTCGGACGTTTAGGTCCAGACTATTGGAAGCTAGCGCGCTCGCCTTATTGGCAGCCCTAAAGTCTCGTGCCTGCGCGAAGTTTGGGGTTGAAGATCATTCTCTAGTATTCTTCTTGCTCCCGTGGTACGGATAGGTACCGTACAGCCATCAACGATTTCCATTCCCCGTTAGTAACTAGGGCGGTCTGGATTTTGCGTACTTCCTTGGACGCTTCGAGGGTTGAGGCTGATAGACTGAGTGCTGCCACGTCCTGCAGCATGAGATATGGTCTCGACAAAGTCTTCGCCCATCGCGAGCAGAAGCAGAAATTCTGGAATTGGAGAATTTCTGCTCCTTTCTAGCACAAGCTCGATTGCGTATCCGGTTCCCCGGCCTACTTCGGGATCCTGAGCTTGGCAAGCTTGAGTACGGCTTTGATTCCGACGTGCTGGGTCCACCGTCTAGCTCACTCCTGTCTAAGAAAATGTGAAATGAATCAATTGTCCTATTTGGACCTTCGCGGCGACGCCACATTCCAAGTGGTCCCGGCAGGCAGAAGGATGGATCCATTCAAGTTACTAGTTTATCCCAGGCTAACGCACAAGGCCCAAGAGCGCTGTCTTCCTGGAACTCGACGAGCATTTTCTGCTTCCGCGTGGTCGGTTAAAAGCTCAAGAGGAACTAGGCAAGTCCAAGTGCGGATGGTCACAATCAATGGCGATGTGGATAATAGGTATATGGCAACCATACGGAGTACTGGCTCGAAAGGGCGGATCAAGACCGGGCTTGGTCTCGGCTTCGGCCCCGAAAAGTCGGCCCCACGCTTCGGAGCCTCCTCCGAAGGTCAAGGAGAAGTTGCTCCGCTCTCCAGGTGCTCAACCTCGTGCATTGCACATCGACTGGTGACGTTTCTGCGCATCGCAGGATAATGTTCTATCATAAACTGCTGATTATTCAACAGATGAAACGGCACTATGATCTTGGCTTTGTCCTACTGAATCTTGCAATCAGTGTGATACCTCCCCCTCAATGTCGAAGTGAAGAGCCATGAGGAAATCAGCCATGTGAAGTGTTTGCTATGGGTGCAAATGTCTCTGTGCACCGGGATAAACAAACAAAAGGGCAAACGCGATCAAGCCAATCATAATGGACAGATATGAGATTCCCCCCACAAACCTTGATTGAGCGACTTAATCGGGCACTTTTCGGCATCTTGCCAGCGTCACTCACCTCCTCATTCAGGATCAGCGTCTGCCTTAAGTGATGATATCCTCACAACGGCTGATATCTGACACTTTCCCCTCTCCCTCAACTCGTTCTCAATATCTGATCCCGTCTACTGGCTTCGGGCACCTCAATATGCCGGCGAGTTCTCACCACGATGCTCATCTCCCAGTACCAGCCTCCGCAATGCTAACACAATCTCACTCACGCAGCCCTACAACCAAGTCGTTCTCTTTGGAGATTCGCTGTTTCAGCTTTCAGCTACGCCCCAAGATGGATTCTCATTCCAAGCTACTCTACAAGACCGTAAGATAGCCCTGTCATGATTCACGATGCGTGATTCATCTTTTAAGCTGGTAAACAGTTCAAAGCTAAACAAACAACGGGCAGACTGCATGAGGCGTCTCGATGTCATCAACAGAGGGTTCTCAGGCTACAACACGACAAACGCACTAGGAGTCCTCCCAGGCCTCTTTCCGCCTCCTACAGCAACAACGCCCAAGATAGACTACATTGTGCGTCCAGCCAGTCATTAAGCTCTCCTACCTGCCCAACCATCAAATGTTAACCTTATCCCCAGCTAATCCTCCTTGGCGCCAACGACGCCTGCCTCCCAATTCCTACCAACAGCCAACAAATCCCCCTAGACCAATACAAGCAAAACCTCAAAGCCATCCTCACCCACCCCACCATCCGCGCCCATAGCCCCAAGATCCTGCTCGCGAACCCCCCTCCCCTCGACGAGATCCGCATGCTCGAGCGCGATCTCGAAAAGGGCCACGGACAGGCGTCGCGCAGCGCGGCCGTGAGCAAGACGTACTCGGACGCGGCACTAGCCGTGGCATCCGAGGTGCCCGGTGTCGTGCCGATCGACCTCTACGGCGCCGTCATGCGGCGGGCTGAGCAGATGACGATTGGGTTTAGTCTGAGTAGTCTTCCACTTGGGTCCCCCGGGGGTGAGCGGGGCGGGTTGGAGGTTTTGGTCCCGGATGGACTGCATTTGGGGGGTGAAGGGTATAGAGTGCTTTTTGAGTTGGTGAAGCCTCACATTGGGCCGTTTGATGAGTCAAGAGAGGATTACCGGCATCCGGATTGGAAGATTCTTAACCCTGGTAGTCTGGGTTGAAGTGGTAGAGGATGCAGTGGTACCTGAAGAGGATCTGAGAGTGGAATTCTCTGATAGAACTTGAACATTAAGACGTTATCATTAGACTTTGACAAATCGACTTCGGAACATCCATCCACTACACCCAACGACTTCTCGCGAACGATCCGAACATGAGACCCCCTCAGCCATTAGCGTCTGGATGTTTGTCCTCGCTCAAAGAACATATCGGAACATAGGCTATACAAAGTTAGCAAATCACTCAACGACCGACTCCAAACACCAGGCAGACTCACATTAGCTTTATCCGTCACATCCTCGAACCCAAGGACCTCGCCCTCCCTCCGCATCTCCTTGACCTCCTCCTCCGACTTTCCTTCCAGCATACGATCACGCTTCTTATTCTCGAGCACATAAATGAAGCGCAAGATCTGGTTCAGGACCAGGTTGAGAATAAACCCGCACAGCATAGCCACGATGCCGCTGTGGTACGCGGGCGCCTCGGTGCTCTTGAAGAACTGTGGGCCGGCAATCTGCCCGACGCAGTAGCACACAAAGACCCAGCCCGAGGCGACGGAGCGCTTTGTGCTGCCGGCGATGTTGGTCGAGAGCAGGCCGAGGATGACCATGAAGCCGACGGGGTAGGAGCCAAGTAGCCAGACGCCGACGAGGCGGCCCCATTTGTTGTCTGCGTGGAGCTGGTTGATGAGGCAGGTTCCGATGATCTAGTTCTGATGTTAGTGGGATAGTCATCCATCTTGCGAGGGTTCACTACAAACGTACCGGCGGGATCATGGCAACAGTGGCGACGTGGAGCCTAGAACTCTTGATCTTGCTGCTCAAGAACCCAGCTCCTAGCTGCGTAACAACCTGCACAGTAGAAAGCGGCAGGTTCATGAGCGTCGTGTTAAGAGGACTGAACCCAAGCCCCTGAATAATCAACGACCCAAACGCCAGCCCGCCCGACGCAATCGCATTCACAAACGAAATCAAACCCAAGATGATGACCGCCGGATCCTTCGCCGCCTCCACCACCTGCGCCCTGACAAACGTCCTGCTCCGTCCCGTACCGGTCTGATTCTCCGCCACGCGCTGTACAGCAACGACCTTCTCCCTCTCCGTCAACCACGTCACCTTTGCGGGCCCGTCCGGCACGAAAATCGTAAACACGACGCCCCAGACGACGGTCATGGCGCCGAGGATCAGAAAGATGTACTTCCACGGCGACAACGAGCCCGTGATGTGCCCGATTCCGTACGCGAGCATCGTGCCCACAAAGCTCCCGACGCCGAGGAACGAAACCCACAGCGCCGAGCGGCCGGCCTGCTCCTGTCTCGTCCACCACATGCCCGTGACGGCCACGAAGCCAGGTGAGATGGTCGCCTCCGTGACGCCGAGCAGGAACCTCACGGACGCCAGCCCCGCAAAGGAACTACACGCCGCGGTAGTCATGAGAATCATACCCCAGAGGACAATATTCACGCCCAGAAACTTGGCGACGGGGAACCGTTGGAGGACGGCGACGCCGGGGTACTCGGCGACGAGATATCCAAAGTAGAAGATGGAGCTAGCCCAGCTGTACTGCTGCCCGACGAGCTTGTTGTCCTTGATGATGCCGTAGACGGAGCTGTACCCCAGGGAAGTCTTGTCGATGAACTGCAAAGCGTAGGTGATGCAGAGGAAGGGAAGGATGCGCCTGTCGAGCTTGGCGAGGATGGAGCGGGACTCGGCGGCGTCAAGGGGCGCGGAGTCAAGGGCTGAGGCGGCGAGAGCGCCGGTTTCGTCGGTGATGTGGTGCTTTGAGGGGATGGCGTCTTCATCTAGGGGGCCGGTGGTGGCGGGGACGATATCCGCGGGGACCCGCTTCTCCGGGTCGGAGCCCGGGGTTTCGGTGGATGCCATTGCGGAGTCAAGTACCTTACCCAGGAGAGGAGACTGAAGAGAACTTGTGGGTGTACCGAGTCCCAGGTTCTTGGGTAGTCTCAATTTACTGGCACGAGGATCCGGAAAAGAAAGTTTTCTCCTCCTGCTCGGGGTTCTTGGGAGCCCTCGACTTCTTTTATCAATGGGATGTTGAACGAGGGCCGCGGGCTGGAGTCACTGGAGCGTGTGGGTCTCGTTCATCGGAGTAGATCCGACCATCGGCAATTCCACGTTTGTTTTCCCAATGGTCTTATCTTGCTCGGGTGCTTTCTTCCATTCACCAGCCCCTCTTTTTCGCGCAGTGTCATGCCAGCGGCAGAATGATTGCAGAATGGTTCATGTACCTGGGAACATGGTTGAGGTCTCGTCGGACTGTGATCGCCCCTTTGCAACCTGAGCACCAATATGAACTCTTTCGAGTAGGACATAAGTTTGCCAGCTTGCTGGGTAACACTCACTTATCAACATATACACTGCGACATACTCCTTGATGTGCGGGATGCGAGATGCTTCCAATGTCTATTTCATTCTTGTCTTCGTTATGGTCGTGATATATTCTCCCCTCGGAAAACTTGAACCTCTCGTTACGGAGTATCCAAGCGCAACCGGCGCACACTACGGGACCAAAACAACCGATAACACCGGTCGATAAGAACAAGGGTCCGGACGACGGGTAGCTATCTCCTGCGGGGAACAGCCGGTCTTCCCCTCCACTTCCAGACTCAAAGCAGTCGCCGCCTTTACCCGGCGCACCATGCCAATTTGCACAACGATGCATAATCCCTCCCAAACGACCAAATGAGGAAGCTCCCAAAAGACCAACACTGGTGAGCCATGAGGCGTTAGACGGCCAAGCGCCTTGGCAAGACGGTTGGTCTTGTCAGCCTCATCTCAAGAGGATCGCGTGTCTCTATCGTCATCTTCACCCAACTCCGTTCACATTTGCTGATCAGCGAGCGCATCACTCGATCATCCAATCTCACGAAGAAAGGTAAGTGAACCTAAGCATCGCTCCAGCATGTCGATCATCAAGTGTATCTGACCACCTGCATCAGACCCCAACCACCACAAACATGGCCAAGCCAAAGTCAAAACCAGTCGCCTCGCCCGCCGCCGGAGCGCAGGTAGATGAGGCATCGCAAACCTCGCAGACATCGCAGCAGGCGCAGGTCGCGGAAACTTCGCCAGCGGAGAGAATACTAGCGCTTCTCATGCCCCCTCCCTGGGCGCGCCGCCTCATCTTTGTCGCTCTCATCTTCTACATCACCCCGTTCCTGCTCACGCACTGGATCGAGACGTCGGCCAAGTTGATTAGGATGATACGGACGTTGACTGGCCAGAGGTAATTGTTGATTCAGTGGATGAAGAGATATCGGGTTAGGTTGCTGGGGTTCATGGAAGTGGGTTGGTGAGCTCTGGGGTCAGCAGGAGACTGCGCAGTCATCCCGGTTGAAAAGAGGTTTCAGAGCTTCAGAGCTTTGAGATGCAGGCATCGGAACTGTCAATACTTAAAGGAAGTAGACTTGTCTTGTAGTGAGCTTATCTGAAGAGCATTGCCCAAGTTCAAAGTCATAACAGAGAACTACACGACCGACCGTGTCGCGGCGACACCGTCTGAGGCATGCAAACAAGCAGAGTTTACCAAGTACGTTAAAAACAGCAAGGCGCCTATATTTGAGTGAGATTTCACGCACCTTGCAATAGCTTCGATACATGAGCGTAATCGTTCTCCTCTTCTCCCTTGCCTGTTCTGAAGGACTGTGAGATGCGCTGATTTATGCACAACCAGCTTTCAATCAAGCATAACGCAGCGTGTACGCTAGCTGAAACGGGCAACTTGCATCGTATGGCACCCGCGGCCTCGGTACAGATAACATGAGCCAAAACCCGGCCGGTGGTCGGAGACACTCCGCCGCTCGGAACCGTCTCTTCAGACGACCCTCACTACACAACCTCCACTCGCCGGAACAAACTCACTCACCTACCTCACCCTCATTAGGGACAGTGCAGGTTCAACCCAACTTACGTCGCCTCTCACTCCAATCGAGGGGCACTTCAATCACCGGCGGGATCGACCTCATACTCATCAGCTACAGTGAAACTTACAACAAGCTCTCTCAAAATGGACACATCAGACGACGGCTTCGTCCTCGTCTCTCACGCAGACACCCACCCCACATGCACATCAGCCTCACCTTGCTCATTAGCCCCAGCCTCATCAACCTCAACCTCCTCATCATCACCACCACCACCTTTCCTAGATGAAATCTCCTCCATCGTAACAGACCTCGCCGACGCACTATGGCCCGTCAACAAAACCATCCACGATAACCCGGAACTCGGCTACCGCGAGTTCATCGCCCACGACACCCTAGTAGCCTTCATGCGCACCCAGCCAGCATGGAAAGTCACACCTTCAGCCTACGGCATGAAAACCGCCTGGGTCGCCGTCTGGGAGAGCGGGAAGAAGGGACCGGTCGTGTCGTTTAATGCCGAGATGGGTAAGACCTCTCCTCCTCCTCCTCCTCCTTTTCCCCAACTAACAATAACCACAGACTGCCTCCCAGGAATAGGCCACGCCTGCGGCCACAATCTAATAGCAACAGCCTCCCTAACAGCAGCCCTCGCAACCTCAACCCTCCTCGCCCGCCACGCCCTCCCCGGCAAACTCATCCTCTACGGCACCCCCGCAGAAGAAGGCGGCGGCGGCAAAATCGCCCTCCTCAAAGCCGGCGCATACAACCCCACCACCTGTCCCGGCTCCCCCAACCGCGCACCAGACATCAACCTCATCTCCCACCCGGGCATCGTCTCCTCCACCGCCCTCATGCGCACCTCAGCCTACACCTCCCTCCGCCTCGAATACTTTGGCCGCGAAGCCCACGCCGCAGCGAACCCGTGGCTCGGCATCAACGCGCTCGACGCGCTGGTCGTGGCGTATACTTCGATTTCCGTGCTGAGACAGCAGACGCGGCCGGGCGACGTGATTCAGTGCAACATTTCGGACGGCGGCGCGCGGCCGAATATCATCCACGCGTACGCGGCGGCGAATTTCGTCGTGCGGTCGGATACCCAGCCGCGGCTCTCTGAACTTTTGAAAAAGGTGCAAAAGTGCTTCGCTGCGGGGGCAGAGGCCACGGGGGCGACGTGGAAAGTTACGTTTACGGGGGCGTATAAAGACCATGTGCCGAATCGTGTGCTGGGGCGGTCGTATACGCGGTACTTTAACGCCCTACTCGGTTCTGGTGGTGACGGAGACGGTGACAACGACGCTCCGATCCCGACGGACGAAGATGTGGACGAGATTCGCGGGCGGACGATGGCGAGTACGGACCAGGGGGATATCAGCTACGCCATGCCCTCCCTCAGCGTCGGCTTTGCGATTCCACCCGGGAAGGGAGGCCAAGGCCCGCATAACCCGGAGTTTGCGGAGGCGGCGGGCACGAGAGTTGCGTTTGAGAGGAGTTTGCGGGTTGGAAAGGGGCTGGCTGGCGTTGCGGTTGATGTTTTGACGAGGAAGGGTATGGTGGACGAGGTGAAGGCTGCTTGGAGAAGGGATATGGGGATGTGATGAGGAATTTTTTGTTGGTATGGAGGAGAGTAAAGGGGTAAGTAAGTATTCACATTGGACATACTGAGGTGGTTTGCAGATATATTCGTAGGTACGTATCTCTGAGTATTCACCGTACATACAAAACATCAGATCGAATCGCCCTCTAGCCTTCATACATAGCTCAATGGTTCATGATACAACAAGTCCTGGGCCGCATGGTCAAGGTGTTCCGGGCTGTAGAGACCACGGTTGGGCGGTGAAGTCTCCGGTCTATTTCGGGGTCCATGTTCGAACCCTCGATCGGTATATTCTTTTTCCCGTGTCTTGCTTTTTTTACTTTCCAAGATGATGTCTGATCCTCTTTTCACGATTAGATGAGTGAGATATGAGAGCAACCTTTTGGGATATTGTACTCGTATCATAGCGTACACACACACCTGTGTGTATATCTTTCTCAGTACCCAAGTAATATCATTCAGCCTCCCATTTACCTAAGTAGACATCATCACGAGTTTGGAGCCCCCACGCGAAGCATCAGCACATCTTCTTGTACACAAGAAATGATCAGGGTGAAAAAAACCGTGATTGTACAAGGTCCTAGTACATCCCATCCCGTAGGTATGATAATACACGCCCAAAACTCCCCCATCATAGTCAGACACCCCAATATCGAAACATATCTCATATCATACCAACTGCTTCTCTTCCTCCATCCCTGAAGGACAACCAAACCTCAGACCTTCAGACCATCAGTTGTCCCTACATCCTCTTGGCACCCATCTCCTCCGCCCCAAACTCATCCCACTCCTCCCTCCCGATCCTCCTCGAAATCCACACCCCCAACCCAGTAACACCACAACTCGCCAGAAACCACCCCTCAAACCACCAATCCACAAACCGCGGCTCCAGCGCACCCGCCAACGCATCCCCCACCGCGCTGCCCATCTCCCGCGGCAAATTACTCCTCAGCAGCAGCGCCGCCGAAATCACATACACAGCCGTGATCTGCCCAATCATGAGTGCCAAGTTCGCCTGCGCCTGGTACAGCAACCCCGGCATCCACTTGGAAAACAAGTGGAAAGTCTGCAACACGCTGTTGGCGCTCGCTGCGAGCATAACGCCGCTCAGCAGGAAACTAATCTGCCGCGCCCACGCAATCTGGTCCAGCGACGGGTCCCAGTGCCGCGCCAGCAAACCCAAAAACCGGTTAATCGGGTCCGAGGAGCTGAAGCTCGATGAAGGGTAATACGCCCTCCGCAGCGTCGCAAGCGTCGTCGCCAGGATGCGGTAGAGACAGTACAGCGAAAAGACGTAGTGCGGGACGGCGAGCACTTTGCCAATCGTCGTCGCCGCGCGCGCGTCCGCCGCCCGGCGCGATCGCATCACGCCCAGCGAGGAGTGCAGATTCGCCTCCATCGTCTCGAGGCCCGTAATCTCCAGCCGCAGGGCACGCATCTCGGCCTCATCGCCGCCGCCCATTCCCCGTACGGCGCCGAGCATCTTGCCCATGAACCCGCCGCTGCCGGCCCCCGAGCTAGACGACCCGCCTGACTGCGCCTCGGCCGCCTTCCGCTCCAGTGCTTGAAGCCGGTGTCGTTTCGTGAGGAGCATCTCGTTGGTGGCATCCAGCCCGGCCTCCTTTCTCGAAACATCCGCCTCCGTAACGGGCCTCTTTCTCCGTTCCGATACCGCGCCGAGGGTATGCCAGGGACTCGAAACAGCCGCGAACCCGCTCAGCATCGCCATCAACGAGATCCCAATAACACCAATCCTCTCTAGACAAGCGCGCAGCACCCCGCCGCCCGCCGTCGCCGTCTTATCAAGCCCAACCAACCCGCCCAAGCTCCAAAACGCAAACACCCACCCGCCAAAAACGAGCATCTGCACACCCCAAGCGAACCTCGGTATCCTCCCCTTATTATTCCGCTGAAATTTCCACCCAGCACCCGAGACCACGCTCTGGATCTCCAGAAACGGAATGACCCCGACCAGCAGCACAAGCAATGTCGGCACCGTAACCCTCAACCCAACCTCCCTCGCGCGCCTGCTCACCAAATCGGAGATCTCGCTCAGGATCAACTCGCCCAGCACCGTCGCCAGCGCAATCGTAACACTAAACACCGCGGCCGCGACGCGCCGCCGCGCGCTCTTCTGTCCGTGTTCGGCGTGAGCCTGGCGCAGGCTCGGCGGGGCGTGGGAGGGGAGGTAGTGGTCTTCCCCATCGTGGGCGTCGTGAACCCTGGCGAGTTTGGGAAAGATGGTCTGGTTCGCGAAGGCGGCGACGGCGGCGAAGGTGAGGAGGAAGGGCAGCAGCGAGAAGAGCAGGCCGACGGTCGACGGGGCGTTGGGGTCTACGGCGGCGCAAGCGGAGTCGTCGCAGGAGGCGCTGGACCAGAACCAGGGCATCTTGGTGGTTGTGGTGACGACGGTGGTGACAGCAATGGTAGGGCGTCGTCTGCGTTTGCGCGCGAGCAAAGGGACATGTGCGATATGTATCCGTAGCCGAGCAGAGCAAGATTCATTCTATGTCTGCTTCTCGATTGTTGAGTAGGATGAAAACAGTTGTGGCAAATAGAAAACAGGCCGGTGTCCTTAGCGAGGAATTAGTATGCCTGTCTTCGACATTGTTTGGTATGCGTTGGCTGGCTTCGGACAACCGTTACAGTGCGACGGCTGCGACGAGAAAATAAGGGCGACGTTGGATTCGTAACCTCTGTGTCGGACTTTTGGGGGGGGGGGCCTCAGCCACACGACAACCTGGCCTCGGCTCTCCACTCTGAAGCTCCGGCGACTTATTTTCTAAGCTTCAGCCACACGTCTCTGCGCCACACATTGTACTTGCCGGGCAACTTTGGAACCTCAGAAGTCTGGAACTCTGGAACTCACCCACCTTCATCAAGAGCAGCCCCGCAAGATGCGACGGAGCGGCCAATGGGCACTAGGCAAAGACTCACCCAAGACCTGGAGTCAACAGCTCCTCCTCCAACATCAGATACTGTCACAAAAAGATGCACGCCTTGTGTTCATCACCAGAAGTTATACGAAGAATGCAGCAGACTTTTGGCCGATTTTTATCAATTCAGTCTTTTATGGGTATCAATCCACGGGTTCCATGCAGACGAGGGGTTTCAACAACTAAGGTACGCCGATTCCCTGGACAAACCTCCCTTGACTTGCCTTCATCTCCGCCCACGTCTCAACTACGGGATGTGTCGTCCCACCAAACTAAACATGCCCACGCTAGCGACCAAACGCCTTCTAAACCCACATATGCTAGTTCATAACCCTCCCTGCCTCCCCAATTGAAGCCATGGGGCTACTGTATCAGCTGTTGCTGCTGTGTCGCGAGGCTTTGGACTCCTCGTCTTCGTCGTCATCTACTCCACTGGCGCTAGAGTCCAAACTCGACTTTCGTTGCTTAAGGGCTGCCGCCTCGTTGGCCTCCA